TTGTTTCAACACACTTTTTTATTTTCAACATCATCACTTGATAAGACACAGAGTGTGTTGAAACAAAATGGCTATTTTTGTAGTGATTTTATAAATATATTATGTTATTTTTTTTTTTTATAAATAATAATTATATCTGTTTTTTGTATTGAGCACTCTTTTAAGAATAGTAATTGTTGTTTATTAGAATTCATTCCGTATATACCAATTATATACTTGGATATATATATATATATATATATATATATATATATATATATATATGGTAATATAAACGTATAAAAATAATGTTTTATATTATTTAAAATATATATATATATATAAATATCATAAAAATATCTAAGTTGTCCTTGCTTGCGATTAATCTTCATCTACATACATACACACACACACACACACACACATATATATATATATATGTGTGTGTGTGTCTATATATATATATATATATATATATATATATATATATATATATATATATATATATATAGCGCCAATGCCCGCTTCATACTTCCCTCTCTCTTGTTCTTGTAAGGTGGGTTGAGCCGGCTCCAATATTAGAGATTCATGGGAATTTGGAAAAGCGTGTTAGAAATGCTTCTTTTTTTGAATACTCTAAAGCTTGTAAATAAATAATTTGTGATGTTAAATCTAGATAAATAATAGTTTCAGTCTCTTGTCTTCTCTTCTCCTGTAACGGCATTCACCCGAGGTGGGTTGAGCCGGCTCCAATATTGGAGTTTCATGGGAATTTGGAATTCACAAGCGGTCCCCAACCCGCATGTATAGCACATGAGATTTTGATTATAGTGGTGAAGGTTTCGTGCAGTACCATCCACACTTCATACCAGGCTATCTCTCTCCCTTTGTCTCTCTCTCTCTCACACTCTCTCATTCTCTCTCTCTCTCTCTCTCTCTATATATATATATATATATATATATATATATATATATATATACTACTAGCCAAAACTTAAGGCAAATGAAAATAAAAAAAAAAAACCTTTTGTGTTGTTAGACTCGACCAGTTATTTGAGTATTTCCGAAAAGGAAAATAACGAAACACACACACACACACACACACACACACACACACACACATATATATATATATATATATATATATATATATATATATATATATATATATAAAATAAATCCTACCAAGGTTTTATCAAAACGGATCTTCAGGGTAAGCTGGGTAGTTATTTCCGCTTTACTTAGCGTAAAAATTAGACGTTTTAGTCTTACTACTCGCGTAGTTTTTTTCTTCTTTGGACTAAAAACTTAAGGCACTGGGCGATTTATTTCGCCCTGTTCGGATGTTTTTAGTTCTTTTTTCATTTCCAATTTTTTTCCTCGGGTACCGATTTGTTTTGATATATCTACAAGTTGAGTTCGCTGAGGTTTTTTTCCAAACAAGTATTACTATTAGTATATATACATACATACATACATAGACACACACACACACACACACACACACACACACACACACATATATATATATATATATATATATATATATATATATATATATATATATAAGGAGTGCGTGAGAGAGCTAAATAGAGGAAGTTGAATGAAAATTTGACGTATCGGTTGAATTTTTAATTGTATTTTTCTAACTTTCGAATAATTTGTTGTCCATCTAAATTCATAATTGTTGATAAACTGTCCAAAGCTCGTGTTTTTTTTTTGCTTCTGTTTTTGTTTTTACTTATTGTCGACCGTTTCAGTCATTTGCATTGAAGTGAATGTGCTCAGTATAGTAAACAAGATTCCTTTAGAAAGGCTGCAATTGAAATTCAAATATACCTGTGACATATGAGTGGCGTAGTCTGTAGATGGCTTGAAAATAACGGGTGGAATGTACCCGAACGATAACAGAGGTCCTGCTCGAAAATAAATAAAAACAAAAGCAGAACATACAAAATGACCTTGCCGATTGGATGCATATATATATATATATATATATATATATATATATATATATATATATATATATATATATATACATTACATTCACTTACGTGCTAATACCCTTGGGAAAAGTATTAATCCTCTTCTTCTCTCTCCAGCTATGGGTAAATAGCAAGACAAACTGGGTTCTATAGACTTGGTGGGCAACTGCACTAGGAGAAGGTCAACTCAAAACCTGCGCAGGGGTGTTTGGAGACATTGCAGCATGTACTGCACCAGGTCTCTATATTCGGCCCTTCAAAACGTCTGGATAGTTCGGTACAAAACCTTCACCACTATAATCAAATCCTATGTGCTGGTATCTGGGCTGTCGGTTCCTTGGAACTGAGCTGGCCGAATACGACGGGAGAGTCAACCACACACACACTGACATATATATATATAAATTATAAAAGAACACATGCAACAGAAATTTATAGAAACAAGGATCTTTTCATTCATAAACAGGTTCGGGGTTTTTGTATATTATTTGAATTGTTCGCGACGATGGATTTCTCGCCAATTAAATCATTAAACTTTGTATTTGTTTTTTGTATGAATAATTCATGAATTTGTAAATTAATTGCACCTTTATTGTAATTAAAATAACTTATCCAAATGCAAGTTTTGTATAATAAGTGCGACATTACTGTAATTATTAAACAATATAGTTCATGCCACTTTGACAGAAAATTTACCAGTAAAAAAGAATTCGCTTATCACCATATTTGTATAAGAACGCACAATTGTAATATTTAAATTCAAACTCAGCGTTGCGACAGCACGCTCCAAAAACAATAACTCATTTCTAATAGCATTTTTCGGATTACAACAGTACATATATTTTTCGTTGTCCTCTTATTACTGAGAGAAAAAAAAAAAAAGAACAAAATCTATTCCATACCTGAGGATGTCTGTAGGAACAAACGAAAGCTTGTAAAAATAATAAGAACTCATGCAACAGAAATTTATAGAAACAAGGATCTTTTCATTCATAAACAGGTTCAGGGTTTTTGTATATTATTTGAATTGTTCGCGACGATGGATTTCTCGCCAATTAAATCATTAACCTTTGTATTTCTTTTTTTTGTATGAATAATTCATGAATATATATATATATATATATATATATATATATATATATATATATATATATATATATGTGTGTGTGTGTGTATATGTATATCTCATTTTTAAAAGATATATTTACCAAAATTACATAAAAATATCTTGAAATACTAATGACGGATTTTATTCAATAAAATCGTCATTAGCTTCAAACATGGCCTCTAGACGATTTCGGAATCTCCTACAACTCTTCTGGATGTTCTCCTTTAAGTTGGTGAATGCTGCCATAATCCTTGCCTCTAGTTAATCTTTGGTGTTAGAAGGAGTTTCGTTGAGCTCTCGCCCAACTGTGATTCAAACATAATAATCAAGGAGGTTTCTGTCTGAGTAGTTAGGTGGCCATATGCAAGTGTTGATGTGGTTGCAAAAATTGTCTGCAGCCATGACTGGTTTCTCCTGCTTGTGTGGCATGGTGCAGAGACCAGTTGTGAGACACAGGGTCTTCAAGTAGTCACCCTCTTGACCCAGGGCAGCACTACATCCTCAAGGCACTTGATGTAGGCCTGCCTATTGAGTCTAAGGTCCTCTGGGAAGATGAACATCACCATCTCTTTTGATCACTCCAAACACCATTATGTTGATTGAATATATCATCCAACTCTTTCCGAATCCTCTGCACTGTCCTCAGATTGACACGCAAACACTCTGAAATGTTTGTATTGGAGCTTCCGGCGCGAATGCCAAGAAGTACAGCATGCTGTTTCCAAATTTCAGGATAAAACAAACAACGCGCATGCATGAAATTAAAAATATAAAATGGCGAAAATCGCAACATATAACCATATATATATATATATATATATATATATATATATATATATATATAAAAACAAGTCTTATTGAATAAATTGCAGGCATTATGTCTGCTAACTTTTAACAAAATCCGTTCATAATCACAAATAACTTTCCGTGTATTGATATTAAAGAATGAGAGAAATGTTCTATAACTGTTTAAATTTCTTATATTTTCATTTTCCGAGTACTTTCGATACTCTTCCAGGATCATCTTCAGGGGTACAAGTAGTACAATTTTTTCACGTTCTAATGAACGCTTAGCACATTGTCAACCATTTGCATTTAAAACTAAATTAATGGATAGCAACGCACAGCTTTGTATAAATACTTGTTCCCCTGAAAAACATATAGTTTTGTACTATATAAACTCTTGAAGATGATCTCGGAAGAAGATCGAAAATACTTGGGAAATACTTGAAATAAATGCCGAATTTTTCCTCATAAGGGAACAGCTAATATTACCATTACGATAATTGAGGAAATAACTTTCTTTCAGGCTACGGTTTTACTGGTCCACTCTCTTTTATATATATATATATATATATATATATATATATATATATATATATATATATATATATATATATATAATGATACTAAAAGATTTACTTAGTCGTAATTGATTTAGCGAGATAAGCTTGCTAACCACTACAACGCGTCGAAGTTACCCTGTGTGTGTGTGTGTGTGTGTGTGTGTGTGTGTGCGTGTGCGTGTACGTGTGTTTGTGTGTGTGGATGCGTAATCCCTTGTGTACTAGTGGCATTACCGCCTTGATTGGAGGTGAATGTGTAAAAACACCTCTACGTTAGCACTGGCTGCTCGGGCAATAAATGACAATTGTTTTCTTATAACGGAACAGCTAATATTACCATTACGATAAATTGAGCAAATAAATGACTTTGTTTCAGGCTACGGCCTTGCCCTCTCGTTTATATATATATATATATATATATATATATATATATATATATATATATATATATATATATATATGTGTGTGTGTCTGTGTGTTTGTGTGTGTGTGTGTAAGAAAAGAACAAAAAACAGATAGCTACGCTTCCCAGAAAAGGGCTAAAGATTGGACTGTTACTCGAATTTAACGCTACCGCGATCGTCAGATATAAGGAGAGAGAGAGAGAGAGAGAGAGAGAGAGAGAGAGAGAGAGAGAGAGAGAGAGAGAGAGAGAAAAGAGAGAGGGAGAGAGAGAGAGGATAGGGACACTTGGAATGGATGCAGTTGAAAAACTATCATAATACCTGACTCAAATACGAATTCATGATCGCCTATGTCCTGAAGAAAGAAGGATTGGGAACTTTGTCACTCACAGGATATAATGTAAGCATGAGAGGCAACGGAAAATGGAATGTAACCTACCTAACAAGCATGCGTAAATGAAGCGCAGAACAAGAAGTGGGAGAGAAATTAAATCGGTAAATATTGCTAAGAGCTACAGAGGATAGAATGTTGTGGAGAGCCATGATCGCCCACGATACGGATATCGTACATAGAACAACAAAATCTGTATTATTGTAGTGCTCAAAATCAATAGAGAGACAAGGAGAGAGTGAGAGGGGGAAGAGAGAGAGGGGGGAAGAGAGAGAGAGAAGGGGAGCGTATTAATAGTAATGAATAAAATAAAAACAAAGCGATAAAATACTTCTATATTTTTCACTAGAACAGGCCACTGATTTAATCGTAAATCCTTTTGGCTTCTGCTACAATGCATGAAACCAAAAGTAATTTCACTTGTTACAACATACATTCCTCTGTTTATAGCCGATTGGATATACATGTGTTTATAACACGACGTCTCTTCATGGTATTTTAAGCATAAACCATTACGAGTGTTTTTCCTTTAAGTTTATAGAAAAGCAAAAAAACGTATCTTTGTCTTTCAGATAATCTGTGTACATGTTTTTGTAGCAGTTGGTGCTTATGTCTTAGCGTAATAGATTTTCTTTCTTTTTTCTTTTTGTTTATAGCTGCGGTGTATATGGGCTTCCAGTGTTTATGATTAAGCGTCTGGGATTTGTATTTTTAGTGCAATTTTCTGAACATAATTTTCTATCAGACGCGTGGCGCGGTTAGATTAAAAAGTACGCTTTTGTTCCTTTTATACTCGCTCTTCAATTTTGCTGGTTTCTCCCATCTTTACTTCTATTAACAACAACTTCTACAAGGTCTTATTATTGGTGGGAGCAATCTTAACAATATGCAGATGACACAGTGTTGGTAGCAGACAGAGAAAGAAAACTGCAGGAACTATGAGACAAGGCAGTAAATGATAGCGTAAAAAAGAATAACCTTTAAGAAAAAAGAATGCATGGTCTTTAGCAAGAGGGACAGCGTATGATGCGAGCATTGGAAAATCAAACAATTACAGAAAGTTAAATATAAGGTGTATTGGAATAGTGAAGGTGTATTGGAGTAAGGTAGGTTTATTGGTATAGTGAAGGTGAACTGGAATAGCGAAGGTGTCTAAGAATAACGAAGGTGTATTGGAATAGTGAAGGTGTATTGGAGTAACAAAAGTGTATTTGAATAAAGAAGGTTTATTTTATAGAGAAAGTGAATTAGAATAGCGATGGTGAATCGGAATAGCGAAAGTGTATTGGAATAGTGTAGGTGTATTGGAATAAGGAAGGTGTATTAGAATAGCAAAGGTGTATTGGAGTAGTAAAAGTGTATTGGAATAAGGAAGGTTTATTTTATAGTGAAGGTGAATTATAATCGGAGGATCTAAAGTGTATTGGAATAGTGTAGGTGTATTGGAATAAGGAAGGTGTATCGGAATAGCGATAGTATACTTAGCGAAAGGTGTAGTGAATGTGTATTGAGTAGCAAAAGAAATAAGGAAGGTGTATTGAGTAGCAAAAGTTATTGAATAAGGAAGGTGTATTGGAGTAGCAAAAGTGTATTGGAATAAGGAAGGTGTATTGGAGTAGCAAAAGTGTATTGGAATAAGGAAGGTGTATTGGAGTAGCAAAAGTGTATTGGAATAAGGAAGGTGTATTGGAGTAGCAAAAGTGTATTGAATAAGGAAGGTGTATTGGAATGTATTGGAATAAGGAAGGTGTTTGGAGTATGTATTGGAATAAGGAAGGTGTATTGAGTAGCAAAAAGTGTATTGGAATAAGGAAGGTTTATTTTATAGTGAAGGTGGAGGATCGAAAGTGTATTGAATAGTGATAGTATTGGAATAAGAAGGTGTATCGGAATAGCGATAGTATACTTAGTAGCGAAGGTGTATTGGAATAGTGAATGTGTATTGGAGTAGCAAAAGTGTATTGGAATAAGGAAGGTGTATTGGAGTAGCAAAAGTGTATTGGAATAAGGAAGGTGTATTGGAGTAGCAAAAGTGTATTAGAATAAGGAAGGCGTATTGGAGTAGCAACAGTGTATTGGAATAAGGAAGGTGTATTGGAGTAGCAAAAGTGTATTGGAATAAGGAAGGTGTATTGGAGTAGCAAAAGTGTATTGGAATAAGGAAGGTGTATTGGAGTAGCAAAAGTGTATTGGAATAAGGAAGGTGTATTGGAGTAGCAAAAGGTATTGGAATAAGGAAGGTGTATTGAGTAGTAAAAGTGCATTGGAATAAGGAAGTGTAGCAAAAGTGTATTGGAATAAGGAAGGTTTATTTTATAGTGAAGGTGAATTAGAATTGGAGGATCGAAAGTGTATTGGAATAGTTAGGTGTATTGGAATAAGGAAGGTGTATCGGAATAGCGATAGTATACTTAGTAGGTGTATTGGAATAGTGAATGTGTAAGGCAAAGTGTATTGGAATAAGGGAAGGCGTATTGGAGTAGCAAAAGTGTATTGGAATAAGGAAGGTATATTGGAGTATATTGGAATAAGGAAGATTTAGCAAAAGTGTATTGGAATAAGGAAGGTGTAAGTAGTGTATTGAATAAGGAAGGTGTATTGGAAGGTGTATTGAATAAGGAAGGTGTAAAGCAAAAGTGTATTGGAATAAGGAAGATTTATTTTATAGTGAAGGTGAATTAGAATAGCGAAGGTGTATCGGAATAGCGAAAATGTATTGGAATAGAGTAGGTGTATTGGAATAAGGAAGGTGTATTGGAATAGCGATAGTATACAGAGTAGCGAAGGTGGATTGCAATAGTGAAAGTGAATTGAAATAAGGAAAGTTTATTGGAATAGTGAAGTTGTATTTGTATAGTGAAGGTGTATTTGAGTAGCGAAGTTGAATTGGAATAGCGAAGATGTATTGAAATAGCGATGGTGTATTAGAATAAGAAAGCTTTATTTTATAGTGAAGGTGTATTGGAATATTGAAGGTGTATCGGAATAGTGAAGGTATGTTGAGTAGCGAAGGTGTGTCGGAATAGGGAAGGTGTGTTGGAATAGAGAATGTGAAATTGAATAGCGAAAGATACGTCCCAAAATGAAACAGATTATAATAAACTGAAAAATAAAGTTGTTACCAACAAGTAAAGAGTTCTGAACTCCTATGTATTATAAATCCACCTATTTGACGGTGAATGCTACAGAATTTCCCATGAGATGAAGAAGAACTTTGAGACAACAAAAATATTGTTCTACAGAAGTATGTTGTGAACACTTTGGACGGAAAGTATGAGAATCAAGAAGAAAGGAGGCCTTGAGATTAGTTTAAGAAAAAAACTTGAAATTTCAGGAATTCACAATGAGAATAGGGTACTTGGACAATTTAATACTTACATGATATATTGAAGGTAAGTGCGTTGGTTAGGTGTCTGATTTTGTTTGACCGCATCTGTGGCTTATTTAATGCTGAAATCTAAATACTTTGAACATAATTTTATGGCTTCAAGTAAATATACTTTGAACGCAATTGTATACCGCCATCTACAGATAAAATGTATTGGTGGTCATTTTGCTATAAAATGAATTGTTAGTAATTTTACTGTAAATAGGTATTATTGGTAAAGATTTTATATAAAAAAAGTATTGCTGGTATTTTACTATCAAAATGTATTTTTATACTTTCATAGTGTTCTGTTTGGTTTGTGAGTTCATTATTTGCCCATAACTGGGACCCTAGCAGGTGCTACTACACAAAGAGCAACAACAGCAATTAAGCTTCTCAAATCTTCCAATCTCCCACACAGAGGCCTTGCAGCCGGATGTAGTTTATCGTCATACCCGGGACTGAAAGTAAGAGGGACAGAAAGTAGATCACCTAAAGAACATTTTTAAATGGATAGCAAAACAAGAACTAGACATGATAGTAAGGGCACAAATATTGTTTAGGGTTACAAATTATGTAAATTTGTGGAGGGCTGTTATCGCGCGGACATAAAAGATGGTTATTTCGCGAATTTGCATTCTTACACTTAAAATGAACTTTTGCGATTATCGTTCGAAAATAGGTGATAGCAACTATTTTTTAATCATCTCGCCCCAAGCAAGGCGATAATGCCACTAAGACGCAAAATAATAAAGTGTGTGAAAAGAGAATGTGAAGGCTTTAGTGAGTAGAAGTGAAGAAAATTAAATGAAAGGAACAGGGTTCAGGAATATGGAAGATGGCGATTGACATTGCACTTTGAAGATTGTAGGCGGCGATAAGACAAGAAATTGGAAGGATTTCCACAGGTGAGATGCGAGAAAAGAAACTATTAGAATAGAACTGGCGGTTGCATCTTGCTAGTAAAAAGGTAAGACCTAGTCGAAAATCAAGTAGAGCGCTTAAATTCCTACAGTCGAGGTACCAAGTGGAAAAGCTGATGGGCGCAATTGTCATGAAAATATTTATAGAAAAGACAGCGGGAAGTCACGTCAAGTCGTTGAGAAAGTGACTGTAGACGAGATGCCAGGTCAAAATCGATTACATAACAGCCTTTTTTTTTAAAATTTTGTCAAGAATCTTTATATTAGACTACCAGACCAAATATGGCAGCCATATTCAAGAGCGCAGAGGAATGGTAGATTTATAAATAGATTCTGACGAGAAACATAGTCTGGCCCGACACAATTAATTCAATATAATCACTTCATTTCGTCTGAATATCCAGAGCATTTCTCGATATTCTTGCTTGTCCCATCCAAGCTGTGACTTGAACAGTACCCTTGCTTTCATTGTACCCTATTTGACTGAACGTGTAACATCAAAATAATTATGTGAGAGCTGTTAACACAATTACCAGCTCATAAACCTGGCGGTTACGTGATATCTAGTAACGGAACGAAGTTCAGGGATATTGGGTTTCATGACTTATCCTAGGGTATTACAGGAATTTCCATACTCACACCAGCTCTTTTAATATCCAGTTATCCAGACTTTGTTTTATCCCACCCAATTCGTGACATCGAACTTCTCTATTATATTCAGGGAGATTAGGGTTCATGACTTTCCCGAGGGCATTGCATCTCAGTTGGTATTCAAATACAGTTCACTAGTTTCGGTAGCCGATATCTGTTAAGTCACTGTCAGATATACAGAGAGAGACAGTCAAAAATATTCCTAGCTAGATAGATGAGTATTTGAATGATAAGATGAAAAAAATAGCCTTCTAGTGAAGTTACATTAGAATAGTAAATGTTGCCTTCCAAAAACTAAGCAAAGAATTAAGAAACAGGAAAATTTCATTAGAAACAAAGAAAAGATTGCATACTTGCTATTTAATGTCAGTCCTCTTCTATGGTAACGAATGCTGATCAATCCCCTCCCAGATGAAGTGGGAACCTGGGGGTATCAGAAATGAGGTTCTACAGAAGGATGACGAGAAAAATAGAAGCAAAAAGGACAATTAGAAATAGAATCAGAAAGCGGCACTTGAAATTTCTAGGACGAATAATGAGGAAAGAGGGCTTGGAGAATTTGACATTCAGAGGAAATAATAGGATGAGCTTATGTGAATGGATGGTAGAAGGTGGTGTTAAAAGTGGGATGGTAAAGATGACAAACATTACTAAGAGCTAAAAAAGGCAATTCCCCAAGTGTTCCAGATATTTGAGGCACTACCGTCACATTCATATTCAACAATGTTGTAGCTCTTAGGCAAATCCGTAATATTTTCATTATTTTTCAGTTACACCCTTTTTCAGTTAGCCAGATACATCCTTGATCTGCTGGGTTTTTTTTTTTATTTCTTGGTTAAGATCCGGTTTTTCTTGTTAGATGATGTGGTCGGTTTAGATGTCAAATTCTCAGAGTATCTTATTTTTGTTTTTTTTTCGACCGGCTACCGTTTGTGCTGATATAATTTGTTTACATGGTCGGAAAATAACCGTTATCCATTATTATTATTATTATTATTATTACTATTATTATTACTATTATTATTATTATTATTATTAATATCTTCTTGTAGCTTGCATCTTTCGTAAAATTCGCTCGTTATTTCTTTTTCTGCTGTTGAGATTAAAATCACTTGTCTCTAAAAGCCGACAAAAAAATTACGCCTAAGCAATCATGGGATCTACACGCATACAGGGTGTCTCAAAAATATTTTTACAAACTTTGGCGGTGGCGGGGTTCCTCTCACTAAAACAATAACAAATGTCCGTATAAGCATATGTCCGTAAATCCTTCGTTTTTTTTTTTTAGTTAAGTTTAAAGAAAGCTTCGCGTCCATTACCATTCGCGGCCATCTGTGGAAATCATATCCGCCATTGTTAAACGAAACTTTTCCGTTAACTCACTAGTATACACGTTAAACGTTGAAGACAGACTAGCGACAGCTGTACACGAATGACAAATGTAACCTTGTCTAGACAGCAACACAGCGTAATCTACCGTAAATTTTCTTTAGTTAAAAACTCAAGTATTTGCGTACATATATTTATATGGACTTTTTAAACGTATTTTTGATACACCCTATATAGTTGGATAAAATCGCCTTTCTCCATTTTTACGTCAGGACAATTTTTCGATAATGTTTAGCCGTGGTTAGCATTCATAAAAAACACGTTAGATCCATAAAAAAAATCTCTTGATTTATGACTGGTTTTCTGGGAAGAGGGGTTATTATGTATACCACTTACACGCGGACCATTGTCCTGATCCTTGTTGTTACCATCACAACAAAGACAAGGACAATAGCCAGAGTGAGAACAATGTAAGTTTTCTTGAATATATGTTTACTATTTTGTAGCTCAATGGCAAATAGGAAAGGAATTGGGTTAAGATGATCATGTTGCGTCGTTGCTTCAGTTGTTAAGTACTCGCTGTGCTCGCCACCGGCAAATATGATTGTTATGTGATTTTTTTTCAAGATTTCTAACAACGGAATAAAATTCAGGGGGATTGTCTTTCATGACTTACCCAAGGGCCTTATTATAAATTCCATTCTCACATTTAAGATTGAGATTGAGCCATAACAATTTTTCTTTTTTTCATATCCAGTTCTTTTCTCAATATTCTCCCTGGTACGAACTATAGAGTAGCAAGGTCAATCATTATTTTTGTCTCAGATTAAGCTCAGGGAAATTGGGTTTCACGACTTTGCTAAGATCATTACAGCGCAGTGAAGACAAATTACTTCAGTCGAAATTCAAACCTAGTTCACCGATTTTGTTAACCCATTACACACACACACACACACACACACACACACACACACACACACACACACACACACACAGACACACATCCGAAACTGCCCACATATGTTTATATATGTATGAGTCCCGACGGACGACCAAGTATGTATATGTGTCTGCATACATCGATGTTTGCGTTAGTACGATGAATGACAAAACGACGAAATTTCCCCACCACTTCCACAATAACACCAATACACGCAATCTACATAAAAACCCAAATTTTTAAAACATTAATCAGTTTGTCGGACGATCGCTAAAGCGTGAAACCCAGGGTCACAAACTCACATCTATCCAACAAAATATGTTAGCTCTATCTCTGATATTGAGCGCTTTCTAATAAGTACCGCGCATATAATATATAAATAATTATACGTATATATATTTATTTATATTTATATATATATATATACACACACACACACACACACACACACACACACACACACACACACACACACATACATACATACATACATACATATACATATATATGAGACACTGTGGGTATATGAGTAGTGGATAGTGGCTCGGACTGAGGAATCCGAGAGCCGAGTTCGAATTCCAGTCGAATCCATTACATGCACTTACGTGCTAATACCCTTGGGAAAGGTATGAATCCTCTTCTTCTCCCTCCAGCTATGGGTAAAATAGCAGGACAAACTGGGTTTCCAACTGAACTTTCCTGTCTCGTAATACTCTGCTTAGTTTTTGAATGGATCTTTGGCCATCCCAATATGTCTTTCAGTCTCAGTGTCGCATTTTCCGTTCTCTGTTAAAACACACTCCTAGATATTAAAATTTCTGCACCTTGTTAATTTTTGTGACCCGACGTATAAATTACATTTTGGTGTCATCTTTTTTGTTGATGACCATATATATATATATATATATATATATATATATATATATATATATATATATAATTTTTTTCGAAAATTATACCATAAATATGTTATAAAATCACAAAAAAAAAGCCATATTGTTTCAATACTTTGGTGTCTTATCAAGTGATGGCGTTGAATGTAGTTCTTCATTCAGCACTATCACTTGATAAGAACAAAGTATTGAAACAATATGGCTATTTTTGTAGTGATTTTATAACATTTTTATGTTATAACTAGCAGCATGGCCCAGCGTTGCCCATGCTTGATTCAAAAAAATCGTACGACTCATACAGGAATCGCTATCACTTGACTTAAAATATTTTTGATCTTCCTTGCCTTTAAAGAAGTGCCCTTGCCGTGTTGATGTTGTTACATGCCTTACTTCTTGCCTATCTCACACTGCGATTTTTTCTAAGCTCTATACTAAACATTAAATCTGTTACAAAAAAAAAAGAACTAAACAAAATGAACACAAAACGATCAGCTTTAAAAAAGGACTCGTAACAGGAAAAGCCGAATAAAAAAGAATGTTCACAACAAATACTTTTTCACATCCAACCCAGTTCTGCGGAATCAGAATATAACGTTGAGTTTAAGCAAGAGAATGAGCCAATTGGAGTAAAGTGCCAGGCAGATCTAAATTTTTCCCACTTGTGACGAATGCAGCTATCGATTTTTTGCATGGCGGCATGCTAGTTAAAATTCGTGTCAGTCAGCTGTTGGCTCTCACGCTGGCCAGTAAAATCTTCCTGCCTATTCGTGGCAGCCAGCTATTAGCTCTCACTCTGGCCAGTACAAAATGGTCGCAAACTACATGAAAACTGCCGTAGAAGCATGAAATAATCGATTATTTCCACTATCGATGGAAGTTGGGAAATGCAAATTCGCTCTTGGCCTTTCCGCTAACTTGGAGCATGTGCATGTAAATTTTGGTGAAAATCCGTCAAAAATTACGATCGTGTATTCGTTACACACACAATCACCCCCCCCACACGCACACACACACACACACACACACACACACACATCCTGCCTTTTATAGATAGAGATTTTCGAATAAATGATTATATTTGCTTTACTCTGTATTGAGCACTCTTTTAGGAATAGTATTTGTCGATCATTGGAATTTATTCCGTATACATCAATCCTGTACCTGGGTATATATATATATATATATATATATATATATATATATATATATATATATATATATATATATCATGGATTCAATATACCACTCTTTACTAATTAGCCCGTAGCTCGGGGCGGGAGAGGTGGATTAATATCTTTACGAAGGGTATTTACGCGTAAATTGAAATGGAATTCACTTCTACGTTTAGGTGGCGGGTGGTCCAAAACGTACCAATTACCTGGGGTCCGGAGAAGAGGTCGATTCATACCTTTCCCACAATAATTTCAGATAAGCGAATATAACGGTCCCAACGAATTAGAACTCGGTTTGCCGATTAACAATTTCGAGCAATTATCCATTACACCACCTGCACACCCAAGCTTACAGTACCTTATATTGCCAAGCGGTCACCTATCTAAATACTAACCATGCTTAACATTGCTTAACATCGGTGATCGTACGGGAAGCGGTGTTTTCAATGTGATGTAACCGTAAGTACCCAATACAAGGCTCAAGTGCTACTCAAGGTAGAGTCTCTCTGAATGAGATGTGTTTTATGTTCGTAAGTAGAAGAAAGTTAAAAATTACGAAGAAATGGAGGCTCGATAGGAATTAACCTTTCAACTTGAGTTTATCATTGTAGTATTCGGGGAAGCATCCCCGTCTGTGACCGTGAGACACGTAGAAGAAACTGAAAATTTGCGAGGATACGGACGCTTGATAACAATTAACCTCTTGATTTGCAGAGGTTCACATTCGGGAAAGCATCCCCGCGGGTGGGTCCACAATGAAACTGTTTTTCTGAAGAAGCTGTCTCGGTGCAACATCCTTCTTACAAACGGAATGCAAAGATGTCGGCGAGTCGACTCTCTGGACGTAGCATATCGGGTCTTAGCAGGAAAGGTCTGGTATATATGAAAATGTGCCCCTATTAAAGACGAGTCTGTACGTACGTATTTCAATGTTGCTAGAAGGAAGCCGCTATGTTCTTATGTTTACACGTGTCTAACTAAATTTGAATCTGCGATTCTGTTTATTGTACGGAGGTTTTCTGTTTAGATTTGAGAACGTGACTCTGTTTTTATCGTTAACAAGATGGCGCATTTATTTCTTGGCTGCGAAGTGTGGGGCTTTGATATACGCGTCTGTGTCCCTCTGTGCGTGTGTATGCTTGTGCTTTTGTGCAGGTTTGTTAGCACAAATAGATATAACAGATATCCGGGGTTCAAACCCAGGTAACGCAAAATTTAGGATGCATAACGAGTTCTTTTAACTTTCGTAATTGTCCCATTCTTGCACTAGTGAGTTCAGTTTTCAGAAAAGTCTGCATTGAACCGTATGCAGGCAAAAGCCAGCCCCCGAAACACGCTCCCAGAAACGCATAAACATAACGACTTTGAACCCCACCCTTCTCTCTATCTCTTTGCCAAGAGATTTTTTTTTTCAAATCGTATTTACTTCAAGCCAGGCAGTAAAGCTACAGTGACGCAAGGGGTTACTGGGCGTGGAAGAGTTTAGAAACTGGGACATTGCAAAGGAGTGAGTACAGGGGAAAGTGTAACCAGGAGGAGAGCAGATAGCGATTGACATTGGATTCAATTTTTTGCAGATTAAAGTTGGCTGGAAAACATGAAAACGGAAGGAAGTTCCACAAGGGAAAAGTGCGAGAAAAAAAACTGTTAGCATAGAACTAAAACTGTCAGTTGGTGAGATTACTCACACCTTTCTTGTTATGTGCCATGTCCTTTCAGGACGTAGACGATCATGGCTCTCCACCTCCCTCTATCCCTTGCAACTCTCAACAAGTTCCATCCCTCTGCCACCTCCCCCAGACCACGTTCTGTCATTCACTTGCTTAAGGCCGATGTTATGCGTTGTTTTCCCTTGTCTCTCTTTCCTTTTATTCAACCCGTGAGTATCAGATTCTCTAGACCCTCCTTTCTCATTATGTTTCCCAGAAACTTCAGCTGCCTCTTCTTGATATTAAATATAAGCCTCCTCCTTGTTTCCATCTTTTCTAAGACCTCATTGTTTCTTACATGTACGGTCCATGATATCCTTAGCATCCTTCTGTAGAACCACATCTCCGTCGCCTCGAGTCTCTTCCGCATCCTTGAGGCAATCGTCCAACATTCGCTGCCGTAAAGAAAAACAGATGTCACATAACAGCTCAGTATTCTTTTCTTTGTTACCAAAGAAATCCTGAGTGATGCCAAAAAGCAGTATAAAAAAGAAAATACCGCAAACTCTATCTATCTATCTATCTATCTATCTATCTATCTATCTATCTATCTATCTATCTATCTATCTCAGTCTATTCAATATCTATCTATCTATCTATCTATCTATCTATCTAATCTCATTCATATCTATCTATCTATCTATCTATCTATCTATCTATCTATCTATCTATCTATCTTATCGAATCTATCTCTTCATAGTTCGATAAAATGTATTGCAGGCCATTTTGGTTTTAAAATAGATTGTTGATCATTTTACTATAAATATGCATTATTTGTCATTTTACTATGAATATATATATATATATATATATATATATATATATATATATATATATATAGCTGGGACCCTAACAGGTGCTACCACCCCGGGTAGAGTGGATCTTGGAACAACAGCAATTAAGAAGTGGTTCCACGCTCCTCAAAACCTCCCGATCAGAGGCTTTGCTGGCGGATGTAATTTATTGTCATACGTCATACACGGAACTGATATATGTACGCAGTGAGCTTAATTAAATCTGGTAAAGTTCGACACTAATGGGGTAGATCTAATTCAAATCACTGGCTATAAATCTTAAAGACGAGTTTGTTAACCGGCGCACTGAAACAGGAGGATACACTAATTTATGGTCAATGAAAGAGTAGATTCCTTATTTTGAAAGAAGTGGATACTTCGAGGAAGAACAAAAATGTAATTGATAATCATAACTGTCGCAATGAACTTTGGAGAAGTACAAAGCTGTAGGCGGAAATGAACCGAATCTACCTCGATATTAGGATGCAGTCCGTCGAGCGTGACGAGTATATTTATTATTTTATTTCTTCGTTGTTTACGGTGTCCTGATTTTCTAATCTTCCGTGAAAAGAAGTCCGGAAAAAGAGGTATTTTGTTTGTTGCTTGTGGTTTATGATAATATAATTCGAGCAGAACAGGAATTATGGAGAAAGTAAGTCGATTTCATGACCGGATTTCCTATTTTATTGCAAAAGCAGTAAAATAAAAATAAGTACATTATTGTTCATGCTATATATATATATATATATATATATATGTGTGTGTGTGTGTGTGTGTGTGTGTGTGTGTGTATGTGTGTGTTTGTGTGTGTGCATGTATGTGAATTGATTCTGATTCTAACTCTAATGTAACGGGAGCGCTTGGGAAGAAATCTTTATTCACTCTTTTATATTTCCCCCATCATGGTCATTATTTTATCCATGATATAATAACATCGTAGTTCAAGGACGGTACGGAATTGTTTCAACGAAAAGAATGACAAACATGCTTTGTTTTCAGAATGAATTTCATAGTACTAAGACATACCCAGAATTACATATACATATACAGACGTGTCTCACGCGGAGAATAATATATCACATATGTCTACAGAGCAAAATGTAAGAAGAAACAAAAGGAATCGTCTTACAGATAATATGGAGATACTCCTGTGTCTGGAGAATCCATGTTTAGTATTTCATATTTAAACAATCCAGATTCATCTATGTCCCAGTCGAGGATATTTTCCACGAACGGGAAACAGCGGGTTTTTGGTTTTCCCAAATTGAGGATAGCGAGCCGGTGTTTTTTTTCTATATCTGGGAAAGATATATTCCAAACTGAAACCGCACTATGGCCTTGTAAGCTATTGGGGAGGTAAATTTAGCATCTGCCCTAGTCAGTGGTTAGGGAGCTAAAGGCAGTAACATTTTGGTTTAGCTGCTGTAAAATACTGAATTTGCCTGCCGCTTCCGTCACTGTATGGAATGACATCATTAAGCGACCCGTCACGTGACTCAGGTGAATTATCTCTATTTCAAGAGGTTACGCATTTTTTATTTAGTCTTTTTTTTATCATGATGTGGCTGCAGGTAGCATAGTAGGAATTTCTTTTTGTACCTGTATTTTGAAATGAATTGAACATTAATGCATAAAATATGTAAATTAAAGGTCATGACGCTAAAGGTCATTGACGTTAACCAAAACAATTGAGAACTGTCGGTTTCTTTCATTTAAGATCATCTACGATCATTGCTCAACTTAATAAGATACAATGTTGTTAATAACCTAGACATTTCTAGAAGGAAAAACGACGTAGAATACAATAAAAAAAAAAACAACAACAAAAAAACATCAGTGCCGCAAGAAGCTGCAACTTTACGAAAAGAAAAGAAATTCCCTCCATATTCCATTTGTAAAGAGGAAGTTTCAGACAGCTTCTTCCTTGGAACTGTTACTCTGTAGAACAGACTCGTCGAGAGGACGTTTCATCGATCGTTGCAATATTATCCTGTTCAACAGTATTCTGGATACCCTCATCATAGGTGTTTTCACATTTTACGCTCTTGCAACAATCTCAACTGTTTGAGTGACTCTGCTCTTGAGCCTTGTATTTTCAAAGAATCGTATAAAAACACATGCTCACTGACAACACGCAATTCTTGACAATGACTGAAAAGCTCTAAATTATTTGAACAAAACAGAACTACAATTTAGATCTCGATATACAACATCAATTTCGAGAACTGGAAAAAATCCAATTAGAAATAATAAGAGACATATGTTGTAGGTTGAACTTAACTAAGCCTGATTGAACAAATTCTTGCTGCCTAAATAAACCTTATATATACACACACACACACATACACACGCACGCGCGGGCTCTCTCTCTCTCTCTCTCTCTCTCTCTCTCTCACACACACACATATATATAAAAGTTGTTTTTGTGTGCGTGAGAAGGAGAAAGAGAGAGAGAGTGTGCGTATGTACTTGTCACTCATGATGTGTGTGTGCTTGTACACCCGCCTGCGACCCGCACAGTTAATCTGATTATACTTTTTCCCGCGTTCGGAACTTGCTGTTGAAGGAAACATGACAGCCGTCAACCTTTTTAGCCTTTTCGTGAATACAGAATTTAATTTCCCGATTTTTAAAAATCTTTTCCTTTTGTTGTTATTGCCGTTGTTGCTATTTTTTTTTTTTAGTAAGTGCGTGTGTGTTTTTCTTTTTTTATGCTTTCATTCCGATAAGATTGTCACGAAATATTTCCCTTAAATACTTCCACTTACGGGTCAAAATTATTGGTACAATATTCTCCAAAAAAGCCTTTATTTCTGCGAATCTCATTTTCCATGATTTGGTTTTAACCCTGTCATAACTGGATAATGTCATTATTGTTTTATTTTTGTTGAATTCTGTGTTCATTTATTTTTACCGTTGTTCATATTTTTTCTTGTCAGGAAATAATTTCTTAAGTATT